GGACGAAGAAATCTAAGGTCATTCTTGGCTACGTACCCAGTTTTAAGTCAGCCCAGGTTCCATGAGACCCTGTCTCAAAAAAATTTTTTTTTTCAGACCATATTATTCCCCAACTTCAAAACAGAACAACGAATATAACACCTTATAAGCATCTTATCTCAGAACAATCCCAAAGCCAGACAAAGCCTGGTGGCTCATTCCGGAGGCTAAGACAAGAGGACTGCCAGGGGTCAAAAGGCCTAAGCTACACAGTGAGTTCTAGGCCAGTGTAAGGGCTCCAAACAAAAAGAACAAACCCGATGGGTATGGTGGCACAGGCCTTTAATCCCAGCACTCCAGAGGCAGAAGCAAGCAGATCTCTGAGTGCAAGGCCAGCCCTGGTCTTCAGAGTTTTCCAGGACAGCCAAGGATATACAGAGAAATCCTGTCTTGAAAAATAACACAAAACAAACGACCCCAAAAAATAAAATAACAAACCCAAAGCATTTCTTATATCCTAAAGATACTACATGATCTGACCTCTGCTCATCTCTCTCATTTTGCCTCCCACTAATTCATTAGCTGCTTGTTCTCCTCTTGGATTTAAGATACTATCATAAATAAACTTGAATATATTTACTCTACCTACCCCGACAGGGGATGTTAGTAATATCAGCACTTGGGAGGTGGAAGCAAAGGACTGACATGAGTTTAAGCCCAACCTAGCTCTATTAGCAAGATCCCTTCTCAAAGGATACCCCAACCTCTTTCCCCAAATCAAGTTCAGTTTGGTGTGAACTGCACTAGTTACAATTAATAGTGCTGTATCTCATACTTTGATCACTTAGTATAAAAGGGCAGTCAGAAGAAAAATTTTAAGTACCCCTAGAATCATTTGGCGCAAACACCAATAAAGTGAAACCAACATCCAGAAGAGGCAGCTTTATTGCCTACCTTGTTTTCACTCACATGGTCTGCATAATTAATATACAAACCTTCACTTAAAATACGGCAGCACCATACGTTAAAACGATTTAGGAATGGTGGTTTACACCTGTAATCCTGCACTAGGGAGACTGAAGCAGGAGAACTATCTCAATTGTGAGGCCAGCCTGGACTACAGAGTGTCAAGCCAGACAGAGATACATATAAGACTGTCTCAAAAATCAAACAAGAAGTCACTTGAAATAGGGACTTTACAGCTGGGTGGAGATGGTAAATGCCTTTAATCCCAGCATTTGGGAGGCAAAGGCAGGCAGGATCTTTGAGTTTGAGACCAGCCTGGTCTACAGAACAAGTTCCAGGGTAGCCAGGGTTACACAGAGGAACCCTACTGGGGGGGGAGGGTAATAGGGATTTTACAATAACTACCTTCAAACTACTTTTGAAATTTATTGTCAGAAATATCTAGTGTCACCAAAACACACCAGTAAGATACATGTCTAAAGGTTGTAAGCTAGGCATGGTAGCTCACACCTGCAACCTCAGCACTTAGGACAAAGAACTACTGCAAGTTCAAGGCCAGCCTGGGCTACACAGTGAGTTTCCAGGCCAGCCTCACCTATAGAGTGAAAACTCTGTCTCATAAAAGTAATAAAATACGGTACATATGGGCCTGATGGCATAGGCCTGTAATTCCAGTTACTGGGGAGACTGAGGAAGACTGAAAGTTCAAATCTAGCCTAGGTTGCAGATGAGTTCATGGTCATACCCTGACAGTGTAATGAGACTATCTCAAAACAAAAGTAAAATCAGGGTCGGGGATATACTTCAGTAGCAGAGCCCTTGCCGAGTATGTGTAATGCCCTGGGTTCAAGCCTCAGGCTGAAAAGTAATCAACTCGTTAATTAAAATACAGAGAGGCTAATAGTATAGCTAAGCAGTAGAATGCTTGACTAGCATCAAAGTTGGGTTCAATTCCCAGAACCACAAAATTAGATAAGTAACATATTTATCACTAATGATTGGGTGTAACAACTGAGGTCCACTGGACAGAAGCATAAAGAAGAGAGGATATTATTAGGAATCCCCCTCCCTTTTTTCTGAGACAGGATTTTGTAATATAGCCCAGGCTGGCCTCAAATCAACAATCCTCTCATCTCCTAGAGTGCTTTGATTATAGGTTTGTTACCTGATCTGCTTCCAATTTTTAAATTCTGCATTTATGAGCAATTTGTCATCATTGCTAGTAGTTATAATGCAGCGGAACCAAAAGTACTGTCTATAGAAATCCACTGATCTCAAATTAGTCTTTCAATGAGGTTAACCAATCTCTTGGCTCTTTAGGACGCATCAAAGGAATAGTTTTAACACTCAATCTCCTCTTCTTACTACTTCGACTCCACCCCATGGACTAAGAAACACTTGAAGACTTTACTCTTCTAATAATTTACACCCCTAATAGGCCAGGATGGACTTTTAAACGAAGTTAACGGTGGACAGAGAAAGTATAAGGACTCTGAAAACACTCCAACCCACTGCACACATGTGCACACATCACTGCTCACTTGATGCATGCAGACTCGCACCAGTCCCAACTGAAATCAAAAGGGCCTACAGCGGCTGAGAACACTCTAGGAGGGCCTCATTATGTTGTCTTTGCTGACAGTGAACTCTTGGAGGCTGGATCCTCAGGAAAACTAACAAACTCAAAGGCAAGGCTAAGAAAGGACTACGTAAAACAACTTGAAATTCATTTGGTAAATGGGCTGACCAGATTCTCCCTAAATATGCACAATTTGCAAGGTGAAGAAGAGCAGGAGTGTAAACGGCAACTCCTGATTTTAGCTGGGAGTACACGAGAATACTTCACAGAAAAATAGTTCTAGTCTACCAGACATATGACCTTCAAAAATTTTAAGTCTCACCAGGAATGGTGGCACACACCCAGTGACCCCAGCACTATTCAGAAAGAAGCATGATGCAGGAGCATTATGAAAATTAGAGGCCAGCTACATCTACAGAAAAAGTGCTAGGGCTCAAGTCAGACCCTGTGTTCATTTCTTTTAAGTCTTAGGCAGGAAGTTTTGTCATTATCTGCCCAATGTTCTCTCTGCAGAGTACTAATAAACCTTTCTCTTGAAAAGAGCCCCTGGGCTCAGTCTCTACACCTACAAACAGAGTCGGCCTATAATCCTGAAGGTTTTTTTTTTCTATACTACACCTAACGGGGGAAAATATCGGCAGATTAGATATATTCCCCTTCTCTTCTTCCTGGAGATTTCTGGGTAGAGGCTGTGTAAGTTGAGCACTGGACTTTGACTCAAAGTTAGTTATAGGGCTGGAATGAAGCTCAGAGAAACAGCACCTGCTCACTATGCCCCAAGCCCCAGGTTTAATTTCAAGCACCAAAGAGGAAAATAAAACAGAAAAAACAAGCTCCATATATTTTATGTCCCTAAGAAACATCACTGCTCCACATAAGTAGACAAACCCTCAAAACAAAACAACTTCTCTGAGGGCATTCAATACCTAGCCTTGTATTTTTAGGTAACAATGATATTTGTGTTAGATGCTCAAAACATAAGTATCACTACCAAACTAGCCATGTGGAAGGTGAAACACCATCCAGATAGTACATACACATTTGGGCATGTGACACTAAACGGCTGAAAATTCTCACCACATACAACATCCTCAAGTATGAGTTTCCCCCCCTCCAGGTTTGCCAGGGGAGTATAATCTGATGATATATAACCTGCAGAAAACACTTATTTCAAAGGAATGTCAGAAGACAGAAAGAACCAAATGAATAACCAACAGAGTAAAATCCTTAGTGAGGACTATTAGAAAATACAAGTAGAGCCAATTCTGGAACAACAACAAGAAAAATCGGTGCCAACTGTCCACTTTATGCTACTGAACGTAAATTTAAAAAGAACACATTTGGGTGCAAAAAGTGCAACTTCATGAAAACGACCTGGAAAGGGGACCCATCAGTAAGTGACTCTTAATTAAAGTAGTAACTTTAAGTAGAAATACATCTGTCTTGATGCAACCTCTCCAAATTATTTTTAAAACGTTTTTTTTTTTTCAACTGGAAAATAGCTTCCCCCATACCGTCTTAACCGCTAAGATTTCAAAACAATCTTTTACTTACACAATCTCTAAGAATACGGCATTGAAAACAGAAAATCCACCTAGAGCTCCACTGTCTTCACCCGGTATAAAACGGTGATTAATGATCCACACTAAATGTAAAAGGCAAAATGGAGTTGTACAAGAGTTTCTTGCCTATTTCAACTCCCGACAGCCACGCGCGCTTCCCAGTGGCAGGCTACCTCAGCGCGGTCGCGGGCCGGCCGGGAGCCCCCGCCCAGCCCGGCGCAGCCCTGAGAGGAAGCGACGGGGAGGGCGGGCGGCTAGGGCTCCACCAGGCCCGGCCGGGCGGGGGAAG